TTAAAAATGACAGTAACAATCAAATTTTTGCCAGTTTTTTCAAATTTAATAGAATTTTTTCGAAACAATAACTAATAAATAGCTTGAGTGCTTTCACGCTAACTACAGAATTTTTCAGTTAAGGTAGCCGAAAGCCAAAATTCTTCAAATAAATCATTTTTTTGCACCTGTCAACAATGAGAAATGAGTTAATCTGTTCAATTTCTGTTCGCAGTCAAGCGTTAGATACTCTCAACTGCTGTTAGTAAAAAGAAAAAATGACTTTTTTGACCAGAAACAATAAATTTTTTTATTTTTAGCAGTACTATTTGCCGTTTTCTCTAAACCTGTAGTTTTTTACAACTTTTATTACGGTTTTACAGCAGAAGTAAAATGATTTAAAAAATATTAAAAGAAATTTAATTTTAGGGCACCGTTACGTGTTTGCATAATGTATGACTTTTTTGAAAAATGAAAGAAGAAAAAAAATAAAAAAGAAATTGAAGAGCTATTAGAAAGAAGGCAAAAATAAGGTCATTATTTAACATGAAAACTACTTGATGACAATATTTTTTTGTTGCTTTCATTTCAGTAAAAAATGGATGCAGACACTAAATAGGCGATCAACTGCATAAGGCAATAGCTTTTCGTCTGTCATTCGCTTTTTTACAGGTTTTGCTATGGAACAAAACTGCAAAGTTGCCTGTTTTTTCCTTACAACAATTACCCCTGCTATATAGCGCTGTCTCGTCTCTCAACTTCAACACCAACTCCAGCTAGCGATTCAATGGGCTGAGCCCGTCAATTTGCAACAGCTCCAAAAACCTTTTTTACAAAACAAACCGAAGTTTTGAAGGAGAAAAAACTCATAATACTGGGAAACAGCCCTAACGCCGCATTTCGGCGAATATCTTAGCAAGGGCTTCAAAAATCGTTACACGATAGCAACAGGCAGCCAGTTGCCACAATTCTGGAGAAACAAATGGCTTCAAACAATTTGCAAACCTTCAAAAATAAGCCAGATAAAAACCACCTGTTTTAACCGTAGGTCAGCACTTTCAAAAGTTGCCAGCCAGGTGGACCATTGTAATTTTTATCCACTACAAAAAAAACTTTTGCAAGGAATTAAAGGTGTACCGCGCTGTAACAGTTTTCTCTTTTCCATGTTCTCTATATATTCTTGAACGCTTTTTTGTCTATTTTTTCTCATGCTTTGCAAAAATCAGGTGAACATTTGTAGCACTATGTATGGGAACAAAGTTGTTATAGTATAAGAACACTTCTGCAGCGAGTAGCAAAAGTACCACTAGGTTGAAATGCAAAAAAAATTTTATTTTTAGTTTATAAAAATGCACTTTTTATCCCTAACTTAGTCAAACTTTTTTCGTGCTTGTCATGTCAGTCATCTGTCTTTTAATACTATTGCTCAGCACGCAAATATAAAAAATATTTTTGCAAAATTTCTCGTACTAAAGCTTTCTCTGTATTTATGTCCAAGAAGTATGTGAATTTGGCACGACAATTAATCATATCCTAACGTATTAAATCAGTTTAAGCTAAAGTGCTTTTAAAAAGCTGAAAAACTAAAAGTGAAAAATGAAATGAAAATGAGATTTATTTCGCAGAAGAAGAAGAGACCGGTCGTCAGAAAACACAAGTAAAACCATTTTTTTCCAATTGATACTGTCATATTTAAGGAGTTTTTAACACGTCCGACAAGATTTTTCTCATAATTTTTCAAGACACCTTTTACGTACCACTTATTTTTCTTTAGCACTTGATTTGCCAAAGATAATCGGTAATAGGCTTTACAGGTGGTAAGCTAAAGATATATCTTAATGACTTCTTTATGTTTAAACAGTGAAACGTACAAAGTATCACCATAACTGACACTGACATTGGTCGCCAATTATCGTTTTCAATGTGTTACCTATGCAAAAAATTTATTAATTTTATAATTTCCAAGCAAGTATCAGTATTTTTAATTTGTTTAACTTGTTGCTTGATGCTGTCTACAAAGATGTTTTTTTTTGAAAATTTTGAAGCAATTTCACATTAATGGCGGTGACAAATGTTTTCTATTACAAACTAAGAACAGATGATTTCTTAGTGTCGCAGACTGATTAATTAGAGGAATTTATACAGTTGATAAGCCGGCAGAGCAATACAAACGTAGGGCAATAACAGTTTAATGGGTTTTTTGTAACCGAGATATTTAGATGAATTTTTTGAAGACTCTCAAAAAGTGTAGACAAAAAAAAGGAAAAAAAAAGAAAAAGGACGAAGTGACGTGGCAACAACCAGTTATTGTCTAAGTCAAGAAAGAAACTACGCCACAAGCGAAGTTTTTATTTTGTAAAATACCAGTTCAATTTTTCTACTACTGCGATGCACTACTTGATAAAAAATTTCTACTACTAATATCTACTTTCTACTACTCGATAAAAAAATTAGTGAATTTTGCTTCAAAGTAACTCCTCAACAGCTGGCATTACCGCGTCTAAATTAGCTTGGATTATTCTTATAAGGTTCTTTTCTTTTTGCTCAGTTCTACTCAAGGAAGAATGACAGCAAACTAGTTAACTTCTGAGCAAAAGCATTAGCTGCTTATATGTTAATTATCATTATATACTGTAAATGACACATTGAGCACCTTTAAAAATAAAAGTGTCACCTCCTCTGTTGATACACCTATGTAATTCCAAATTTACATTTAATACTGACTAATGTACAGTAATAATAAGCAGTAACATTAAACAGGGCCAAATGCAACGATATCAGTGTTTTTGATTGACTATAACAGCATGTATTTATCAACCGTGCCATTATCACTACACTTTTTTAGACTGTTATCTCATTGCAAAGCTATAATTTTGGAAGCTTTCACGTAGCGAGAAGTTTCTGAGTAAATCATTGCAGCCAATAGAAAAGAAAGATGATCTAGGGTCACAACAAAATGTTTTAAAAATTTTCGTTTAGTTGTTAGCGTTCGCTAAATTTAGCCGGTTCTTTCTATCAATCATCACTGACCAGTCAGTTCAGTGTTTTACCACATTTTTTTAACCATGAGATAATAAAAAAAATATTTATGCTTGTTTCGCTAGCAAGTCGTTTCCTTCTTCCTTCCCTTCACTTTCTGCCATCAATCCCTACTTCCCATACTTATTTCTAATATGACAGTGTCATCAAGTTAGAAACTTCAGTGCAGCTTCCAAAACTAACCTTAGACTCCAAGTTGCTAAACCATAACACAAGATCTTCACCGACCTTATGTCAAAACCCTTGGTCGCTTCCGATGATAATCATTAAATTACCAAAATGACAAGCCATGTTAGGAAGCATTCCAACCAAACGTTACCAACAAACCATTTTTCTCCTACACTGCTTAGTTTCCAGTAAAGCAGGAAAACAGCTGCATGTCTAACGCACATCTCTTTAAATTTAGTGCTATTCCAGAACTGAATTTGGCAATTCCACTACTCCAGAAAATCAAATTTTCTCCAGATTATTTGTAAGGAAGTTGCACAGCAAAGCAGAAATAACTGATAACAAAAAAAAGGAAAAACAAATAAATAAATGAAATAAAACTAAGAAAACAAATTTTTTATAAGTTTCATTACAACAAATCTGATATTTATTCCTTTGAAATGGAAATAATAAACGCCGAAGTATACCAACAGATCTTCTACAGGTATGTCCATCAGCACGATTTGTTACAACTTCCAAACAGACAGAAGCGAACAACAGAATTTGCACTATCTTAGACGATGAAGATGCAAAAGGTCTGAATAAACTAGCCATAGGTCGCAAATTATTCAGTAAGAAAGAAAGTAAAGGCAACAAGCAAGACGGTAGGAATAGGTAGATTACAGGTTAGGCAGTCTTGCCAAAAGCTAATCTGTCAAATGTACAGCAGCTATGAGACAACAATGTCAATTTAAGTTTTTTTAACATAAACTATCAGAATTTATCATTTACAACATATTAGATTTATCAGATAATATAAAAAACTTCTAAATAAACTTGAATTTATTCAACCTAATTGTTTTTTTTATATACATGTCGTTAACACGCAATCAACCCGCTTTTTAATGTTAAAGCATCATGAGTGCACGATACAATACAAGTTTTCGGCATTCCTGATGGGCAGTGAGTGTTCAAAGATGAGTTATCGAAAATGACAACTCTTCAAGCTCGTTTATTGAGTATTTCATCAATAAATTGTTGTAACTATTACCGATCTTGAATGCTCGAATACTTGAGTTTTTTACGTTAACAAACCAAAGATTCTACTGACATTTTGCTATCAAACAGCTTAACCTCGATAAAACCGGTTTTTATTAATTCAAAAAAATGGTCTCTTATTTCTGAGAAAAGATTCTATCACAGCTGTTGCGAGAAAACACCATCAGTAATGAGCACGAAAAGCAAACTACGAAAAAATATGTAGAAAAAAATTCATTTTTTGTTTTTTCAAACTTCACTTTACTGAAAATCACTCTTTGAGGTAGAATCTGATCTGTTAAAAGTCAACTGTAAAAATAAAAATAAAATTGAATGGAAAAAAAATTCTGTGGTAATTATCATAAACTTGGCTCGTCTTTTTGAGCACTTTTACCACTGCTCAAGCTTTGACTTGAATTATCAGAATTCACGCTGATGTCCGACGTAAACTCCGAATATTGGTAATAGAACACTGTCAGCAGCGCAAATGCGCTAATAACAGCCACCATACATCCTGCATATGCCAGCATCTCGATTGCCTGAAAATTAAACTGTATAAATAAAAGTTTAAAGTTATTCTGCCCTAAGTGAAGTTAATAAATTAGTAAAAATAAAGAATATATTTATAACATAGCCTGTTTAGAGAGAACTGGACATACAAGTGCTGAAGATAAGTTTTGCCTGCCGTTATAAAATATCTTCACTTGATAAACAAAGCTTTAGGCTCTATATATGTCAACGAAACTGCAGGATTTGGTGAGAAAAATTTAAAACATTACTTACATGTCAAACATCTATCAGAAAAAGTTCCTTACCAGGTTATCAAACAGATCCAGTTTAGAAATGATAATTATAATAATATCACCAACAGCAACTGTAACCAACCAAATAGCCTGCACAACGGATTTCATGGTCGGTCCCGCCTAAAAGAAGATACACAAACCCAAAAAATAAACGACCAAATAACGTTAAAATCTCTCATATTGCGTTATTTGTTATAATTTTTGGTACTTTGTTTTAAGAAATCTCCGAGAAAAAATTTGAAACCTCATTTTTAAGCAGACTAATTCCAGACCTTGCAAGCTTAATAATCAGAAAAACGTTCGACAAATTGAAAAAAAAAAACAAGTAACTAGAAGATCACCAGTTACCTGAGAATATGCAAATTCGAGACCGGTAATTGAGAAGAGTACTTCTGAAGCTGTTATTACGGCATACTGAGGCACTTGCCACAATATGTTTAAATGATTTTTTGGTACAATAGTGTGGTAACTAATCTCAGCAACCTAAAGTAATAATACATTTTAATAACAGAAAAATACATTTGCACTACTGAAAAAATCGAAAAAAGATATACCGGCGAAGAAGTTATATTTCGTACACCAACAGTGTAAGTATAAACGCCCCCCATTCCCTTAATATCTAGGGTTATATTTTCTAATGGTACCACCGCCATTTCATCGGCAGATGGCGTTCGGCTACTATCAGAATCGTTGTAGTTGATGTAGTACAACTGGTACCTAAAAAGACATATAAACCGCAATAAGAACTAAACAACGCAGCAGCTCTGACTAAAAGTTTGACTCACTTTCCAGGCCTCACATCTTCGAAATCATAGGTCCGTCCATGAAGAACAACTTTGCCATCACGGAAAACATCTTGTAAGCTTATATCATCTTTTGACCAACTGTAGTAGTGCCTGTAAATAGTAAACTCTATATAAAAAGTTTCACGCGCATCTAACGAAGTGTGCAATCAAAACGATAGCTTCCGGAATTTATATCTAATAGCCGTTTTTGGCAAGCAAAGAGAACCATATATAATAACATCAACACAACAAATAATTTGAGAAGTTAAGCGCTAACTTAGAGCGGGGGTTACAAGGATGCGTTGAGTTATCGTACAATTTGCAAAGGGCTAATCGCTCTGAATATGTGTTCTGATTGTTGCAGCGACTCCAGTTGACGCTCTTAGGAATCATTGAACATGGAAGTAAGAAGTTTAGGCTGCAAAATATGCTGGACACTTGCTTAGCTTCTACAACGTTTTAGAAAGCTAGATGAGATTCCTACTTCATACTCACTTTAAAGAAGATTGTCCATTCCCTTCTGTTGGTTTATCCCAAATTGCCTTCTCATATGATATACCTAATGGTGACACAATTATGTAGAACGATTTTCCACCTATAACTGGAAGTTTTTAGAATTTGTTTCTACAATTAGAAGATTGGTCTACCAAAGCTAAAGAAAATTGAGAAGGTTTCGATTACTAGTCACTTACTGTACAATAATTATCTGTGACAACCACTTTGACAAAATTATTTGTGGTAGCAAGATAAAATCAGTTTATTGAAAATTTCAGACAATGTTCTAAATAAAAATAAATTTAAATTTTCAAAAGCCACTCTAAGACAGTTTTCAGATGGCATAACTAATACTTTTTTTTTTTTTGACAGTGCCATAAGTGAACAAAATTATTAAATTACCTTTCAGTGCTGCAGTAAAATTAGTTTGGCTTTTATCACAGATACCGCTGAAAGAAATGCAGCATAAATTTTATATATTTTTAAAATCTAAAATTTATTTTTATAATACTTCTATCAACCAACCTAAATTTAATGTTAAACGTGACATTCTGAGATTCTCCAACTACTAGGCGGTACAGTTCAGCTCTCTTCTCAATTTTGTCATCAATTAGTGACTAAAATAACAAGAATTAAAATACTTGCGTAATTATTTTTACTTTGTGCTATTAAATATAAGCGGAAAAATATTTACCCGTCCCGCAGCTACGTACTTCTCAGGATATCCGGGTGTAGAAACATTAATGTTACATGTCGGATAAGTATTGACAAACGAGACGAAAGCGGTATTTGATGAAGGGACGTCGGGAAGAGTTTTCTGAAAGTATTTTCATTTTTATTGTTCTAATTAATCGCACAAACAATGAAAAAAAATAAATCAAACGTTTGTAAACCATACGTTAACTTCAAGTTGAAGAAATCCACATATTATAAAAGCTCCTGCAGCTAAGAAACCACCAGCAACCAAACGGCGCAAGGGCCTGAAATTACCAAGCTGTAGAAAAAGTCAGGCTTTAAATAAAAACTGAATCAAAATTTTAGCAAACCAAAGTTCTACACTTCTGCCTTAGAAGAAAAGCCTTAATGTTTTTTGTAAAATTGCAAATACAGCTTATTTGCAGTATCCTTCTGTTTAAAAATGCTTAAATCTAATTTTTTTTTACAAATTAATATATAATGTTTCTAAATATACTCAAATTCAGAAGTAAGTCATAATTTGTGCCAAAAAGTGGCTCTTTAACTTATTCAACTTGAAGAGCAAGATAAAAGTTAGCAATAATCTACAATAAAACATACGTTGTGCGGATGTGAATTTTTTCAAAAAATGGATATACGAACGCCTGAAAAGTAAAAAGTTGTATTAAGACTGATAAATCCATTAAAGCCTGCAGCTTTACTACTATTGTTCAAAAATCGCTTTCCAAGAAGCTCTTTCTCTATTAATATTATTCAGCAGCATTTGTTAACGTGAGCAAGATTTCTACTTATACATGTTGCTCCAAAGCAGCAAAAGACGGTGAAAAATTTTTTAACGATTCTCACAGAGCTAATTTGGAGAGCTTGGCAACTGAAAACCGATTGAAAACTAAAAAATAAAATGATGTTAAGTTGCAAAGAATAGCTGAAGCGAACGTTTGCCTTAAAGAGTGCAATACAAAATGTTGTATTGGTTCATACTGACTCTGCAGAGTTCGGACTTGAAAGAATTAAAAAAAGTCGGACATGGGAGGAGGAAGAAAGGGCAGCGATTTGATTATACTTGACAGCGAAGCTCTTGCTTCAATAACCGACAACAGACCACAGAAGGCTAGAGACTGCTAACTTGCAAAAATGAAATTTTAGAAACGTCATGTTTGAGGGAACACTATGAACAGACAGACCAAAACAACGTTCAACTGTTATGACAAAGCCCATTAGTATGATACATAAGATGCTTGAAACCCCAAACTGCTTTTGATCATGAGGAGTGAAATGAAGATGTAAAAAAGCTGTTCAGAAAAGATGCTGGTAACCTGAAACAGTGGAATGAATATCATGACTAAAATGGCATTGAAGGTGATCATTTGATCAGGAAGCAGTGTGAAACTTTCGGTAACTTGAGCGTCCATTGCCACCGCCTGAATGATCCATCTAGTGCCCTAGAAAAAACAGAAACTTCACTTCCTGAATTAAATAAAGGTAAAATAAGAGAAAAACTAATGAGAATGAACACTGTATTAAACTTCAAGTGGTTAACTTACCTGTTGGTCATAGAGCGCCCAGAACATTGGTACAGGCAAAAAAACAATGATAATGCTAAACAGGGATTTGACTTCTTCCAGAAACTGTTTCTGAAATTAACGCTAAGAACTTAGCTGCAAACTTTTGAAGGTCCGTAAACACTGTTATTTTACAAAAGATAAACGTTTTTATTCTAGTTTATTAGTTTTAATTAAGTATACTGCAATTAGTGATAAGCAAATTTTTGTGAATAAGTAAGAGCCAAACCTGAGCACATTTGTTGACATTGATTTTTCCATTACTGTTAAGTGCAAGACATTTCGGATCTTCATCGCATACATGAGTGTCCAGATAGTGTTCTAGCCAGTGATCTCTTTCCACTTTTGAACCCCATTTGTTCTTCAAAGCCCTCTGAAACAACAAGCCTCTTCACTTGTTACTCGTAAAAAAAACGTTTGAAAGAGGTTGAAATCATACTCCAATTGTGAAAACAACTCGCGACATGACATTTTCTTTAGGTGGGTATTTTTTGTAAGCAATGGAACCACTCATAAATGATACTGTTGCAAGAACCATTAGTGCTGCTGGAATGCCAAATGCTAAAGGATAGCAGCTGTCTTCTCCATTACATTGAATCGCTAGAAAAATGTATCAGTTGCAGTGCATGCAGTTATGAATTATTAAATTTATTTTTTGAAAGCTGTTACTGTTTTTTTGAAAAGAAAAATAAAATTTGCTATTTTTTTTTAAATTTGAGATAGGTTTTGAAAATATGAAAAAATCAAGTTGAAAACAGTTTTCCTGGTTCTTTTCGAGTGTGTATAGTTTTTTACTGTTCAAAATATCTAAAACAGTTTTTCACAAACACTTCTTTCTAGGTTTTTTTTAATGCTTAAAATGCTTTTGAATATACTTCTAAGTTCTGGTGTGATGACGGTGGAGAGCGTCGAACCGACATTGACAGTAAAGTAGAAAACTGAGAAAAACATAGAAATCATTCGTAAATGCGACGGGTTAAACTGATCACCACCAAAAGCCGAAACACATGGTTTAATACCACCTGTTCCAAATCCAATAATTACTAGACCAGCAATGTCCAAGTACCTTTAAAAACTTTATATAATTATTCAATCACTTTTTGATGAAAAAAAAAGCTATTGTAACAAAAGCGTTGCTGACAATTTAGCAGAATTTTGAAAAAATTAAAGAAATAAAAAAGAATTAGCTTACGGGTGAACATTGCTGGATTTATTAAATGTTGACGCTACAGCTAACAGTAGATTACCAGAAGCATACACTAATGAAATCCAAAAGATAGTCCTAAAAAACAGTTACAAATTAAGGCTCTTTCTTTAAACATAATGTACAAAAAATTAAGTAGTCAACTGGAAATCTTGATTGTTTATTATTCTGATAATATTCAAAAAGTTGACCAGAATTTTCCGATGTAACCGTCAGCTAAAATTGAGCCGAATACCGGTGAAGAATAGCACAGTACAATAAATGAATGGAACAATATGGTAGCATTATTGTCACTGAACGCAAGTATGTTCATTACGTACAGTGTTAAAACACCTGTAAGCAGCAAGAAATAAACACTAATATCAGAACATCGCTAGTTTAGTAACCATTCAAAAGCTGCTGTAAATGTGTTACTGTATACGGTTGAGGCTGGATACCTCATAAAAAACCTACTCCGCATTCCGGTATATGAAAATCGTTCGCAGAATTCGTTGCCAATGATACAGAAGGTAGATTTTGGCCATCTTTTAATTATGCCTTTTATTGTCTGCAAAATAAACAGCAATAGATAACAGGCAACAGTTAGAAGTGAAAATAGTTTAAGCAGAGGAAGCAAAATTGAAAAGATGCTTACAGTTGGTTCTGGATCTAAATCATCTCGACGGTTACTTCCCAAATCTAAAAAAAAAACAAAAAATTAAAAATTAAAAATGGTTTTTTTATTTAATTATTAGGAGAAAAACTTTTTTTCCATTATTTTCAAAATTATAACTATATAGTTGATTCTCGTCTGTGTTTTGAAATTATTTGATTTTGAATTGCTTAATCCAACCATACTGTTCTATTTTTGTCGTATTATAGTCATAAATTTGATGCATAAATTTGTTTTATCAAATTTGGCTAGTGTGTTGTGTTAAAAAATGGTCATAAAATAATTGAATTTTTTTGTATACGTTGAAACGACAAAAAAAAAATAATAAAAAAATTCCAACTTAGATTCTTGCAAAATGCTGCTATAAAATCTATAATAAAAGCTCTTTCTTTTATTATTTTTCTCCAAATTAAACTGCTTAAATCAGCTATTTTTTAACAGTGTCACATGTCTGACAAAAAGAAGAAAAAACAAATTAGTGTTTTTTTTTTTCTGTTTTGTTTATCTAAATTTTATCGTAACAAAAAAAAAAAAATTATTTGTTAGTTTTTTGCTTTTCAACTCAAAAGTTTACATTTGCTTACCGCTAGCGGATGTTGTGATTCTATCGTCGATGTCACCTGAACTGCCAAACGAATCTTGTTTTTTGGGTGTTAGACCACTGTCAAAAGTACATTTGTCTTCCATTACCTGTTTACAACAATTTACAAATTCCCGAATAATGGTAATCAGAGAATTTTCAAGATAGTTTTGGCTGATAAATGCCAATCAAACTAACCGTTTTCAACGAGTAATTTACAATGTAAGCAATTTTATAGCATTTAACAGTTAGTTAATATAATTAACAAAATTTTAACCAAGAAGCAATAAGTGTTTGAAAAATTTAAAATTTTTGTAGAATTCTAATTTGTTACTTTA